AAAAAAACCGAAAGGGGTAACACTGTCGGTTTTTTTTTCGGGTCGAAATTTTGAATTTTGATATCACAGCTCTGGAAGGGTCTAGATCCTCCATTTTTGCACTCAGGTCAAAGTCTTGTGGCCCTCTATCATAATCCAGTGTTTTGAGAAGATTGGAGAAACTTAATTTTTCGCCCAAAAACGGAAAAAAAAGGTGTGTTCTTGTAGCTCCTCCCAATTCTACAACCGTTAATACCCTCCCACACAGTCATTCTATCTCAAAACACACAACATGTCTCAAGAGGATATCACATCACCAAACCCCCCTTCCGGATCTGTTGATGGATATGCTACAAATGGATACCCCCACCAATGCATCGACTGGCTAAATAAATTTTGTATGGAACTTGGATTTTACAATCTCGCATTCCTCACGAGCTACGGGACTGACGTTTGTGCCGCCGCTGCTGCTACTGTTGCATCCGACACTCCTGGCACCACGTCTAGTGACGAGCTGGACGGGTGCCTTGGGCGGCGCATTCCTTAGTCTATCCATTTGATGCTTTGGCACTAGATACAATTTTTCAGTATGCTGCATTTTTTCTCTTCAGATTCAGTTTCTAGTTATCAGGCTAGTTATGAAAGGTAAGGCTATGCTTAGAAGAGGTAGTAAAAAGCCTCCTTTTTGGTTTATCATATATCTTGCAATATTGATCTTTTTATTAGCAACGTATTTTATTTCGGTCTTTCTCCTTTTTAAAGATCCGTGCTGTTTTGCAGTTAGAGGGATCTTGCCATGAAGAATATTGAGGGCCACTTCACACAGGGCCAGTATGAGCTCGTCGGGGGCTGAATGCAAAATAACCTTTCGTTGTTTGGGCGAGCTCTTGTATAATAACTTTAAAAGGTAAAGATTTCTGGAAAGTCTCGAACTCATTTTAAACTCCCTTCTGGACGTAGACCACTGGATAGTCAGACAGTAAATCTGTTCTGAGTCGAAATCTTTCAGGAGTCTGTGTTTTATAATCTATTAGCAGATAGCTGAAAGGAAGACTAGTTGCATCCTGGTAAGCTTCAATAAAAAAACTTTGTATTACCGGGAACCATCTGACGACCCAAAACACCTTTCTGCTGCTTATCTTGGGGGTTTTTAAATATTATTAAATAATTTGCGTTAAGTCCTATTGTTCTGGTAGATTTACCCTGTAAAAATAGATTCTGTATCAGTAGCAAACAGGTGATATTTTTATGATGGATGCATTGCGTAAAAATCTTCTCGACTTCAGAATTGGACGCAGCTTGATCCATAACGTCGTCCAAAATTAATAGGGATCTTTTACCTGGTGGGAATAATGAATCATCATCCAATTTCTTTGGGATGTTTTCAATGAATTTAATATCAAAAGCATGTAACAGTTCATCATATAAAGGCTGCCAGCATGTATAAATGTACACATAATTATCAAACTTCACAGAACACATTTTGTCCGAATTATACATTAGAGTCTTTACAAAAAAGGTCTTCCCGCTATTGCTTGGGCCGCTAATAACAGCCAAAAACGGATGTTGCAGTCTGCAGTCAAAAACATCTGTTTCACACATTTTCAAAGTATTGTTAAAACCCGTAAGGCTAGGTCGTATAATCTGGTTGGAGTACACGCTTATTGTACACAAGTCTGAAACTTTTCACGATTGATCTATTGTGCAATGTGAAAGTCCTCTTATTACGCGTAATGGTATCTGTGTGGGGGAACAGTCCCTATATGTGTCACCTACCTCTATACGCGCACACTAGACCTATCAGACTCTGTAGCTTTGACTATTTGCGCATTATAGACTATAAACGAATGCTCCAACACCTTCACCATCCATAGATGATATTAATGATGGATAATGTTTAACAACAAACCATAGCAATAATACAAATAACAGTCAAATTAATAAAAAACAATCAGTCAAATATGAAAAACTAGAGATTGTAAGATTTCAAATGATATGTGGTTTGTCAAGATTAGTCTAGCTTTAGTATAGGATATTACTGAATTTAAATAGGTAATGGTTTTGAGGATGGATCCCACCGATGGGGGCGATGACGTTGAAGAGGTTTTAATAACAACATCCGAACTATTAATACAAATAACAACTGTGAAATAACAGTCAAATGAATAAAAATAATAACAATCAAATTAATAACACAGCGTTGATAAAGCACATAATCCTCACTATTGAAATTATAAAACTTCATGTCTCGGATTTCCTAGTGATGAATGCATGATATTCCACAAATACCGAAACGGCATAATCCTCAAAACCCAATGAACTGTTTTCGTGATTCAGAATGAACAAACATGATGATAAATCCACATATTTCCACACGCTGAACAATGTTGATAATCGATGAACTCAACTTTAAATTAAGCCCCCAAATTTACACAATAATAAATCCGTATAGATCCAAAATTCAATCCGTTGAGCTGATCCTTAAAATCCGCACTGTCTGCAGTCTGTGAGCTGCTGGCTTTTGAAACAGCCGCTGTCGGAGTGTGGGAGGTGTTTACGTGTGTCTCTACGAAGCGAGAACCAATGTGTTAAGGGGCGTGAATAGAGCGTGGACCAATGCGTCGTGCATGCGTCATCTAGGGCGGGCAAGGAGGCGGAGTCACCCCGGGTCCGTGTGCTCTGTACAGCGGTGGCATTTCATGACAGATCTTCAAGGTGAACGGACGTTTTAAAACAGTCCGCCGTATGACGTTGGGGGGTGGGCATGTTGTATGTGTGGATACCGCATGCACATGGGTCACGTGATGTGGGAGTGTCGTGGGAGGAGTCTGCGTGTGGCTCCGCGCACACATTCAAACAGCCACTATCGTTTTCTCCCGCTGACCTGAACGGACGTGTTTCGTTGGGCTCCCCGGAATTACATTTACACAAGTTTGAATCGGAGGACTGTTGGAATATCTCTAAAGTTTTGGATAAAGCGTTGCTGTTGGATCTTTAAAACAGGATAATTTTTGTAAACGTAAGTCTGTAATGAAAAACTGTCTTGTTTGACTTTTTCTGTAAAATGACCGGTCTTTGACTTTTTTCACATATGAATGCATTTTTAAAACTGTTTTCAAGGTTTTAACATTTACATATGTATGAAACAGTGTATTTTTAATGAAACACTAAAAGATATTATAACAAATGTATTTTAGAAAACTTTTTTAATAGAACACTAAAAGATATTACAACCTTATTGTATTTGAAACTTGTAATGTTTGTTATAGTTTTAAACACTGTTTTGTAAAACGTAAGTCTTTTAAAAAATGGTTTAGAAAAACAGTTTTCTTTAATGAAAAACCCATTTGTTTGACTTTTTTCTGTAAAATGTCCGATCTTTGACTTTTTAATGCATTTTTAAACTGTTTTAAAGTTTTTTAACATAAAATATATATGAAGCCGTGTATTTTTAATGAAACACTAAAAGATATTACTAATATAACAAATTTATTTTAGAAAACTTTTTTAATAGAACACTAAAAGATATTACAACGTTATTGTATTTGAAACTTGTAATATTTGTTATAGTTTTAAATATTGTTTGTACAACTTCAAGTCTGTGTAAAAGATTTTTCTTTTAATAAAAATCACTGAACCTATTTGTTTTATGTCGTCCTTAAAGATTGAAAATGTATTGTTTTTCCACCATTTTGTACATTTTTTGGTATTAATGGTTGTAGAATTGGGAGGAGCTACAAGGACGCTCCTCCTCTAATCCTGCGTGAAGAGGCGTGGGAACTTTCTATTTCCACGCCCCTCTTCATCACGTGTTGTGGGAGGGATCTAAGAGGCGGAGCTTGAGTCTGGTCACAGTACAGAGGTTCGAGATGTCATTCTTGGGTTGTTTCAGGAGTGTTCAGACGTGTTTCGTTGGGCTCCCCGGAATTACATTTACACAAGTTTGAATCGGAGGACTTTTGGAATATCTCTAAAGTTTTGGATATATCTTTTGGATAAAGCGTTGCTGTTGGATACCTTTTGGATTAAAGCGTTGCTGTTGGATATACCTTTTGGATAACCGCTGCTGTTGGACATATCTTTGGAGGTGATTAATCTTTAAACAGGATAATTTTGTTCTTCTTTCACCAAGAAAACAGAAGGTAAGTCAGTTTTTATGCTTTTAAGTTTTGATATGCTTAAATAATTGTTTGATGTAATTTAAATACACGCTGTTTTAATACGCATTTTGATAACGTTAATTATTGAATTATATTTTTAAATTTATTAATTATTTTATGTCTAAACGTTTGAAAGTGTTTGAACACTAAAGATACATGTATTTTAATACTTTTAAACGGCGTGTAATTGTGTAAAAGTACATCATCAAATGTGGTTCGTGGGATAATTTTCCACGGTCACATGACCTCTCCAGAAGTGGGGTGGTGGTGAGGGGTTCCGTATCGTGGGAAAATTTTCCCAGTTCATAAATGGGAGGGGTGGGAGGGGTAAAAGGGGGCAGGGCTTATTTTTATGAGGGGCAATAAACCTGTCAGTTTGTTGGGTTGTGCCTCATATCCTCTCTCTGATGTTGATCTTAATGCCTTAATTATAAAAATGAAAACTCCAACCTTTAAGGACACAAATTTTCTTTGTGAATGAATAATGTATCATAAATAAATAAATGTTTTTCCTTAAAATACAGGGTGCATAAGTCATTGCCCCCCTATGTTAAATTCCCATAGAGTCAGGCAGATTTTTATTTTTAAAAGCCAGTTATTTCATGGATCCAGGATAATATGCATCCTGATAAAGTTCCCTTGGCCTTTGGAATTAAAATATCCCCACATCATCACACACCTTCCACCACACCTAGAGATTGGCATGGTTTTACTTCAGTTAGCCTAATAGCTGGTTTGATTTGCATTGAAATTTAACATAGGGGTGTCCTGACTTATGCACCCTGTATTTTAAGGAAAAACATTTATTTATTAAAGATTGGAGTTTTCCTCATTTTTCTAATTAAGGCATTAAGATCAAAATCCAAAAGATGATTTTTTTATTCTTCTATTTAGGCAACTTTAGCATGGGTGTCAAAACTTATTCACATCACTGTATAACTCCCATGAAAAAGTCGACCCTCTCTCCACTCCACATAATGGTCCTAAAAACAATCTTTTCCTTTGGATTTATGAAGTGAAATGTGTAGAGATGCACCGATATTAACACTGATAATTCTTTATATTTGAAAGCCGATAACCGATATATATGCAGATAAATCTAAATCCAAATATTTCTATCATTTTTGAGAGCCTGATTAGGAAAAACAAGTCTCCTCATTAAATGCTACGACCCAAACACACAATATTATGAGAACTAATTGATGATTATCATAATATTGTATGTAGCCGATATGACGGACTTTCCTTTTTTTTGAAGTGATTCCAATCATATTTCAAGCAATTTAAAACCATCATGATGAACACTGCGAATCTGAAATCTGAGAAATCTATCGGCTTTAATTAAATATATACAGTATATCGGCCAAATATTCTTATCGAGCCGGTCACCTAACATTAAATATAAACATATATCGGCCGATACCGATATGTGATGTCATGCATCCCTAAAAATGTGACCTGATGATGACATGCAAGTAAGTGTTGATCATAACTGTGACTGACATCAGCCGAAGCCCTCAGACCAACATCTTGAGCTTAATCCATAATACTGATGGGAAATATCGGCATTGAAGGAGATTATTGATTGTGATCGTGTCCGTTTAGTTAGAGATATTACAATATGTGCACAAACGTCCAGAGAGGCTCATCCGAGGGTGGATTAGCATGAGGTCAGGGTCGTCTGGCTCTCCTCACGGCGATGCTCTGGATGTGCCGCCACAGCAGCGACGGGTCCGACTCGTTGTGCCGGAGGAGCGACTCCAAACCCTCGGCCTGATCCAGACTCTGCCAGTAGTCCTGCGGCCACATCTGGAGCCAGCTGAGGACACACACACACACGAAGCAACATGAAACAGAAGTGGCAACACATCTTTGCCATGTTTTGTTAGGGTGTGTTCACACTTGTAGTAGTTCAGTTTTCTTGGTTCATTTGATCAGAACCAAAAAAAGAAGATGAATACATTTAGTCCTGGTTTTCTTCGCAACCACTGTCATTTTTAACACAGAACAATGACTTTTACAATTTTTTTTTTTGTAGCCCTCAAACCGTATTCAGTTTATAGCCCTTAATCCTGTAATTGTGGACAAATGTGGGTACAGGTCTTGGGTGTGATCCTAATTTTTATTTATTATAAATATTATATCACTATCTTCGATAAAGTTTTGTCTATCCATTTATGGTGTTTCTTTTTATTTTTGGGGTATTATTGAATTTATTTAATTCAAAAAGTACCGTATTTTCTATGTAAATTATGCTTATTTTTATATATATATATATATATATATATATATATATATATTTTTTTTTTTTAACTACAATAAAATATCATTCCAATAAGTTCTTAGAGCTAAAACCTAAAGATCACCCGGTGTCTTATTTTGGCTTATTTTAGAATGCTCTAAATTACAGTTTTTCCCATTCATTTCTATGGGTGCCCATTTTTGACCCAAATACAAGATTGAGGAGTTTTGTTTTTTTTTCACCCACTTAACATTGTAGAATTGAGTAAAAAAAAAAAAAAAAAAAAAAAAATTTGTGTGTGTTCAGGAGGCAAACTGAGGAAAAGTAGGCAAGTCTTGTACTCAGATCAAGGGAAGTATTTTTAAAAATAAATCAAAACTAATTTGCCCACATTTGTCCAGAATACGGTTTTAGGACTAATACGAAACTATGCGTGTTCATACGACAGTGTTTTGACCAGCTGAGAACTCAAGAAGAGTTTATAAAATGTGTAAAGAAGTAAAACATTCACACACAAATGAAGATTTGCTGCGCCGAGACTTGTTTCTGACGCCTGAACCAAACTCTGATGTCTCTTATATCTCTTATATCTCAATACTTGCAGGGATTTTATCAATAACAATAATTTGCCGCGTTATTGTGTCTGTACCATGGCAGATTTAGGGCTCCTGAAGTTTCTGATATCCTTCATGTTCTGTGATGTGTTCATCTTTTCCAACCAGTTTACATTGATTTTACCTGCATCCTCTGTCTCAAATTCTTACATTTAATCAATTAATTATATTATAATGATAAGACACTATAGTGCTGTTACCAATCAAATCACATCAGTTTTAAGAAGACTCATGTTGGCACTGCAGGGATAGTGTTTCAAACATGAAACAATGAATATTGAAAGATACTTTAAATGTGAAATGTAAGTCACTGTTAATGAGCGAATCATTCATTCAGTAATTAAACACTGCTGTGTGTTTCTCAAACGCAAAACTGTCCTGTGGTTTTGTCTGGAACTGTTTTTATTGGTGTAACGGTGCAAAAACAGGCAATATTGTGTCTAAAATGTTAATATTAGTTCATATGCACTTGTTTATTGAACTTTTGAATGCGATATTTGGAGAAAAAAGTCACTCTTAGTGTGATTTTGATTGCCTTTTATATTTGTATCACAAATATAATTGCCTTTTATATTTGTACAGTAGATAGAGGTATTTTTGGCATTTATCTTGAACATTGATTGCATTATCAAAATTTGATGCTAAGATTTTTAGTTTTGATATAAACGATATAAATACTGTTAGTTTTCTCACAAAAAAAACGCTCGTTTCGTGTCTTAGGCCATCAATGTGTACTTACATTTACGAGTCATTAAATCATGTATAATTTTGACTTCTCTGCATGCTTTTTGGTGGACCCCCTTAGCCTCCAGTGTCGGTTTGACTGAAAAATATCAAAATTGAAAATACTGTGGAAACAAAGACACCTACATCTTGGATGCCCTTGAGGTAAGCTAAAACATATCAAAAACTAATTTCAAAGTGAACTATCCCTTTAAGAGTGAAATGCACAGAATCGGTGCTGAACGAAAGCGGTGTTCACCTGTCATTTGGGTCGACGCTCTCCACCGGGCCGAGTCCAGGACTGGGCAGCGGGCAGCCCATGTGTGCGCTGTTGGCCATCTTGGGTTGGGGCGGCGGGTTCAGGTCCGGGTTCTTCCGGTGCGCTTTCACCGCTGCCAGACGCTCGTTCTCACGGTCACACACGAAGCACTCGAAGCCGTTCAGGTAGTTGGGTTTGCTCATGTCATTGACGCCCCACTCTCTGCTCTCCAGCCCCTCCAGCAGACGCAGGTTAGTGATGCGACTGGGCGTTTTGTACTCCAGATAACGCGAGTACTCCTCGTCGTCTTGATCCAGAGCCTTTAGCAACTCCGCCAGCTCTCGAGGAGAAGGGAAGTCGTCGACGAGGATGGCGGAGCGGTTGTTCGGCAGCCAGTCGGACACCGAGGACGAGCCCCTGTACACGGGCACACAGCCCTGGTGCATGGGCCGCCACAGCTTCTCCGTCATGTAGTCCGGGCACAGGCCGTTCTCCAGCGCCAGGTGGAACTTATAGCGGCCCACGAAGCTCATGAAGCGCCCGTCCTCGCCGGTGGCCGTGCTCGTGTCCTCCAGATGCTCAGGCAGGGGTCTCGTGTTGAGGCACTTCCCATACGAGTCAATCTGAGGAGGCGACACGAGTTACTATGAGACAAAGCATACTTCATTTGAAAGTGTGTGTGAACTAAGGCACTCAACACATGCACTATAGAAAGTCTCATACGTGTACAGTGTGAAGCGGTGGTTTACTGGGATTTGTGACCTTGGACCACAAAACCAGTCACATTATTAAAAAATTTCAGCAAAAAATTTCACAGCTTCATCGTAATGTTACGAAACTTGGTGACTTTTATGGCATTGGGTATGTGAACACACCAAAAAAAATTGAGCTCATGATCCGAGCAGGCTAAGTGGTCGTAAAAAAATAGTCACACTTGTGCTCTTCGGTCAAAAATGACTGACCATAGGAAATGAATGGGAAATTGACAAAAACACAAAAACTTTGAGAATTTTTGTGTGTACAATCTACAAATCGGCCACGATGCAGAAAAAAAGTGCTCAGCATTGAAGGGATGACACTCTAAAATATCAAGAGTGCAAAACAGACAAACCCACCCCTACACACACACTTTTATACACAAAAAACACCAATAAAGTGTGATTAAAGAAATCTGTTTTGAACATTTAAAAATCACAGCTTCTTCAGAAAATTACGAAACCTGGTGACTTTTATGGCATTGGGTATGTGAACACACAAAAAAATTGAGGTCATGATTCGAGCAATTTAAGTGGTCGTAAAAAAATGAGTCACACTTTTGCTCTTCTGTCAAAAATGACGACCCATAGGAAATGAATGGGAAATTGACACACAAAAAAAATTCTCTGAATTTTTGTATGTACAATCTACAAATCAGCCACAATTCTAAAAAAAAGTACACCGCAAGAAAGGGGTGACACTCTACAACATCTAGAGTGCAAAACAGACACACCCACCAACACACACACACACACACATACATACAAACACACTTTTATACACATACACACCAATAAATTTTGATTACAAAAAGTATGTTTTGAATTTTTTTAAATCACAGCTTTATCACGATGTTACGAAACTTGGTGACTTTTATGGCATTATGTATGTGAACACACAAAAAAATTGAGGTCTTGATCTGAGCTTGCTAAGTGGTCTTAAAAAAATAGTCACACTTGTGGTCTTTGGTCAAAAATGACCCCCGTAGGAAATGAATGGGAAATTGTAAAAAAATTGAAAAAAAAAAAAAATTGTGAATATTTAATTGTCATTTTTTTTATAAGAAATATTTTATGAGATTGTTTCAACTATATATACAAATCCACCAACAACAACAAAAAAATGTGTTCATAAACAGCTGGGGAATTCACATGCCTCCCAATAGAGAGCTGTACATGCCATCTAGTGGTTACACCATGATTCTACGCTTTTTCTCTATACTGTAACCAGATGGTGCTAATTTTCTTCAAAAAATATTTTTTTTCTGAAGGCCTAGACTCTATATTAAACTAAAATACTGCATTAATATTTTTTGGGAAAAAAATAATATATATACTGTATATATATATATATATATATATATATATACTGTATATATATATATATACTGTATATATATATATATACTGTATATATATATATACTGTATATATATATATATATATATATATATATATATATACTGTATATATATATATACTGTATATATATATATATATATAGAGAAAATAATATATATTTTTCCATGGCAAAAATAAACCATAAATATTGCATAAATATTAATAAATTCATTTAAATTGTCTCAAAATACTAAATTAAAAAGAATAAATATTATAGAACAAAAATAAATTGCATTGGTTTTACTGGGATGGAGAAAGTTTCATTTTTAGGTGTCCGGTCCGGGAAGATAACAAGTGTGACTCCGAAACGAAGAGCACCTGAGGGTTAAAGAAAAAAAAATATGATTTTGACCCCTACAATGTATCGTTGGCTATTGCCACAGATATACCCGTGCGGTTTTGTGATTCAGGGTCACATTTTAGAACTAAAATAATCAAAAGCTGCAGCCCTAGTACACTTGATTTGCTAAAAGTAAAGTGAGGCACTGAACACATGCACTATAGAAAGTCTCATACTGGTGCAGTGTGAAGAGGTGGTTTACTGGGATTAGAACAGGGCTAAAATCACTGTAAACTTCACTGGGCTTATTGATTAATTAGGGTTTGGTAAATTAAACACAGCAACAAAAGTGTAACACGAACGCAGAGGGGCAGTATAATACTGATGTGATGAGGTCACAAGTGTGTCTTTATGGAGTATTTCACAATGGCTTGAACCCTCTGGGGTCTAAGGTGTGTTTGGGGTCCTCGAGATGTTCAGACATGCCCTGACATTTGTACTTTTTTCAGGTGCTCATAAACATATTAATGAAATTACACTATTTAACGCAAACAGGGCTACCATAATATGTGAGCAACATGTATATACATGTTTGTATTTTTGAGAGAATATTGTTTATGCGTGGTTATTGTAAAAACTAAAAATGAAAGCAGTAAGTCCCCCTGTGGAGTAAATCCAGTGTTTAATGTTGTTTATGTGTGTATGTGGTGTTTTTAATCCGCTTTAACACACACCATGTGTAAGTTGATAAGTGGACAGCATTGCTGAGTATTTCCTTCTTAAAACTGCAGTGAACCAAAAAAAAACACGCTTTGAAATCGCTGGTGTTTCTGACGTCACAAACTACCTTGTAACCAATCAGATCAACGTGTGATCGTAAACCAGTGGATCTCTGAGTGAGTGAGTGGAGGCGGGGCTCATTTGCATATTCCGCACATACTAAATGAGGCAAGGGTTTCGAGTTACATTCAAGATATTTTAAGACATGAATTTTTTTCCAAGGAAAAAACATTTAAATATATCTTTTTTGGGATGACAGATGAGTTTTACAGGATTGATTACAGGGAGTCCTCACCTCTATATGCTTCATGAGCTCTTGAACGTAGCGGTCCCGGTCCGAAGGCACGTCACAGTGGGACTGCATGTAGAGCACAGGGGCGAGACCGGCCCGTCTCCAGCGGTTCTTCTCTGACAGCGGGACGGCCGTCGGCGCCAGAAGATAATCCAGCGAGGGCAACCACTGCAGCGTCAGCGGATAGTCCGACTCCCGCCTGAACGTGGCCGTGTAGTTAAACAGCCGGATCCCAACACTGTGAGACAGGAGGTAGTTGTTCATGGGAGACTCTTCGTGGAAAAGCGCCCAGGTTTGATGGGGCATTCGTGGCAGCGGAGCCTCGTACGCACGGAAGTCTGTGCCGTAGAAAATAACGGACGCCGTGCGGCGATACAACTGAACTTTCCGGTTGCTCGTGACGAGGCAGGACGAGCGGGAACAGTCCACGCGCTCCGTGTCTCCTGGGAAGTGCGGGAAGAGGTTGGCGCTCCACCACAGAAGGATGGGCAGCTCTTTATTGGGCCGAAGGTCAGTGTTTCCAGGGCCGCGGTAGGAGCTGACTGAGGCGAACTCCATGTCAGTGAGGGCACTCTGGGGCTGGAAAACACCGCCGTCCCCTGCGTCCGCCGGCCCCTGCGCCCCGCACAACAGCGGGAACACCGCGATACACCACAGGCGGAGCGCCATCGCCAACCTGAGGAGGGAAAGGACACTTCACCCTTAAACTGCTGCTGTACATCTACACCAGACTGTGATTGGGAATATTATTAAAGGAGTAGTTCACCTCAAAATACAAATTTCCTGATAATTTACTCTACCCAATGCCATCCAAGATGTTCATAACTTTCTTTCTTCTTTTTTGAGGAAAACATTTCAGGATTTTTCTCCACACAGAGGACTTCAACTGTAACCAATGTCCCAATCAATGCAGTTTCAAAGGGGTTTGAAGAAGGAACAGGGTCTTATCTAGCAAAACCAGCGGCCATTTTCTAAATATAATAAACATTTCTATACTTTTTAACCACAGTTGTTCATCGGGCATTACGTCATCACGTTGGAGAGGTCATGCTGGACACAGGTGGAAGTACCGCCCCATTGATTTAAACATACAGGATACGTGCACAAAAGTACCATTTTAAACAATAAACTGACACAAAGACATAAATATGTAATTTAACATACAATTCAATTTGAACGATCCTCTTTCTCCACGTTTGTAAATATCGGGGTGGAACTTCAGACAACGTCCAGCTCTTCAAATCCCTTTGAAACTGCATTGATTTGGACTTCAACAATTTGGCAACAGTTGAAGTCCATTATGTGGAGAAAAATCCTGAAATGCTTTCGTCAAAAAACATCATTTCTTTTCTATTCCTAAAGCTGCCGTCTGTTTATATAGTCAAACAACAAAAGACTCACTGCAAAAACTAAAGAAATTGCTGAAACTAAATAACTTCTGCAACTTTAATAAGGATTCATCTATCTATATTTAATATAGATTGTGTTAGATCTGCCTGCAAAACCTGAAAAAAAAACATTTTTCTTATTTTATTACAGACTGATTACTTGTGTTTAAAATGTACATTTTATATTATATTTATCTATTTTTTTAAGTCGCTATTAGACGAGTACAAGTTTTTTAAATTCTCCGTTTGTGACCTGATAAGGTCTTGTTTCTTGTAATTTGTTCATTTAAACGATATTAGCCTGGTAGTCTTTTTGCCTCGAAATAAAGAATTGAGAAATCACTGGTGTCTAACGTTAACATTTTTTGTGTCGTAACACCCTAATTTACCAGCATACAACAGTCAAAAACAACGAAAGCTATTTATTATTATTATTATTTATTTTTTAGCAGGTCAAGTGAAAAAATTGGGCAAGTAAAAAAGTAAAACTAGGAATCCCATCCGGGTAAGTTGGGTACATTAAACATAAAAAGATTTCCAAAATCTACTAAGGTGGAGAAGTTAGTCCACATCTTTGAGTATCATAGTACCAAAATTCAGTAAGCAGCCTGCATAAAAAATAATTGTGGGCATCATATGCAACTATTATTTTAAAAAATGTATTTTGGTTTACTAGCACAGCCAAAGAAGAATCTAAGTTACTAACACATTTCCCACAAAGACAGACGCTGGTTTTCCTTGATTTCTTACTTTAGTTCAGGATAAACGCATGTTGTGTTGTTGCTTTCCCACTGTTTCTCCTCCTGTAGGATCAGGATCAGGATGGATCAGGAATGATGCTTGTAGCGTGAATGCTCTTCCTGCTTTGAGGAATGACTGAGGGAAAATCTGAGCATTACCGCCACCTACAGTTCTGGATGAGATGTAGAAGAACCTTTACAGTCTATGAGAAGAACTGCATAAACCATAAACTACATCTGACTTTTAATATTTTCTCATTTTAACTTGTGTAATCAAACAATTGAATAAAATTATACATTGAATTACATTTTTCTGAACACTCTTTATTATTGAATTTACAGAGGAACACAGAGCCATCACAAATCTTATCTTTTTCATTTTTTTTAAACTAACTATATACATTATCTTTTTCAACAGCAGAGAGGTCTCAATTTACGGTTGTTCTTTATCGAGATTATTGTGGAATTAAAGATTAAAGTCATTTGGAAAAGAACTGTCTTATTTTGGTACAACTGACATTAATTTTCTTTTAAAAAATGTATTATATTATCTCCACTAGTATCGTGTTCTATAAACGAGACCATGTATCAGTTATTGTAAAATACAAACAAACAAACAAACAAAACAAAACATCAAAATAAATTAAAATAATGAGCCTTTAGACTAAAAAAATATTTGAGTGTAACTGAAAAATAAATGCAAGATTGTTTCTGACTGGTATGTACAGAAACAACATAATGGAGAAAAAAACCTTCCTTTAATTACAGGATTTTGACCACAGTTTCTGAAATTTGCTGAGCATTCTCTCTCTTTCCCCTCCACCACACACACACACACACACACACACACACACTCTTTCTCTCTCTCCGAAACACACACACACACACGCACGCAGCGCGTGAAATCTCGGCTGACAGCAGCACTGCTCGCGGTACAATATGAGGTAATTCAGAGAGTATTTTTACATCATTGAAGTCTTTTAAAACCAGAGTGATTATTTCCGCAGAGTTGTATTTCTCCTGTGTGTGAGGTCGCGAATGTGTAGCTAACAGTGCTGCAGTTAATTTAATAAAGCATCCAAACCTGTGCTAATCATGGGGCTATAGCTAACGGGGCTGAGGATGTGTGAATAATTAAAAACACCAAAGGCGAACATAAAAATATCAGTTGTGTCTATTAGTCTTGATAAGAGTTGAGTTGGAGTTATAGAAGACAGAGTAATAAAGATAAACCATAGCTTGAGCACTCGTATGCTAAAAACACAGCTGTCATGCAGGTTTGCGCATGCGCAGGGAGCGATCATCTGTTTCCTGCTCTTGGTGCATAATATACGGTTTTTCGGTTAAAATATCCAAGTATTTTGACTTGTGTATTTACATTATCCAAAATTCCCCCAAAACTGTTTAAATCCAGAGTAGTCAACTATTTCGGCCTGTGTAATAACGTGTCAGGTCACATTGGGTTCTCCCATGAAATCGGGTCTCTATCAACTGTCGGTTAATGATTATACAAAATACATACTATGGATATTAATGTAAAATATGTATAGCTTACTATATAGTGGAAAAAAAAATTAAAGGCTATTTATTTTACCAGATAAATTAATTAGCTTATAGTCCTTTAAAAAAAAAAAATCTACATTTATTTTGATCAAATTCAAGATTCCTAAACATTCTGGAAAAGTATTAAAAATAGTCTAAACTGTCATTTTTAATATATAATCTGCTAATTAATTGTAAACTGTTAATCTGCTGTGAATCAATGTCTGTTTATTTAACCTGGAAAGTCAAATGAGCCCTTTACTCTGTATATTACAGCTTAGAGATCATCTGTGAAGTGTGAACAGGACCTTTTCGAAAATACAGATCAATCAGTTCTGGCATTTTCCAATTTCCATAGGGGTTTAACTTCACACTATTAAAAAGTTGCTTATTAGCATGCATATTATTACTATGATATTGGCTGTTTAAAAGCACATATTAATGCTTTATTCTGCATGACTATATTCTACATCCCTTAATCCTAAACTTAACAACTACCTTACTAACTATTGATAAGCATTTATTAGGAGTTTATTGAGGTAAAAGGTATAATAGTGAGAATTGGACTATATTGGAATAGTGATAATTTACTCTGCCGCATGTCATCAAAGATGTTCATGTCTTTCTTTCTTCAGTTGAAAAGAAATGAAGGTTTTGGAGGATGTTTCTCCATATAGTGTCTTCAATGGGGTCCAACGGGTCGAAGGTCCAGATGTGAGTTTCAGCTTCAAAGCCTCGACACGATCCAGCTGAGGAATAAGAGTCTGATCTAGACAAACCAGCCCACATTTAGAACAAAATACACATTTATATACTTTTAACCACTAATGCTGGTCTTGAACGACCATGACTTCATGCATTACATAAACGGGTTGAAAGGTCACGCGTGAAGAACAGACCTAGTGTTTACAGAGCGAATGTGAAAAGATTAAGTCAAGTGCCATTTACAAAATAAATAAATTAAAAGGTAAAATAACGATGTTGGTCGATTTAGAAGTTGGAGGAGAAAATGAGATGGAGTTTTTCACCCCACTCTACATTTCTGAACCGAAACATGTGATGTGTGTCGCATCACAGCGCGTGCAAGACCAGCATTAGTGGTTAAAAGTATATAAATGTGTATTTTGTTATAAACAGGGCTCCAGACTAACTTTTCCACTGGTTGAACTGGTGCTACCAACTTTCTCAATTTGATTTGGTCGCACTTTTTTTTTCTTTTTTTCTTTTTTTTTGCTACATGCCGTTTGCTGAGGCTGTTGTCAATAAAAGCTTTTATTGGACTAATAAGGACGTTTTCAGTTCTGAAACTTACAAGATATTCTTATAATATGATGACCTCTTAGATGTCAAAAGCTCAAGGAAAATTTGATTTCTCAGTTCATCACCCCTTTAATTATCATTGGCAAATTTCAGGATTTTGATGGATTTTGGACAGTAATTGTAATATGCAATTTTAAGCATTTTACATTTTAATTATATACAATTATCTATTTGCGTTTGACCACATACAATTTGAACTCGTACATTCTCAAAAAATGGTCACATATGCAACGAATTTGTTCGCAGTCTGGAACCCTGATAAATGTCCGCTGGTTTGTCTAATCAGACTCTTACTCCTCGGCTTGATCGCGTCGAGACTTTGAAGCTGCACTGAAACTCACATCTCGACCCGTTGGACCCCATTGAAGTCTCTATATGGAGAAACATCCTGGAACGTTTTCCTCAAAAACCTTCATTTCTTTTCGACCGAAGAAAGGCATGGGGAGAGTATTTAAATTCTGAAGTGAACTACTCCTTTAAAGGGTTAGTTCACCCAAAAACAAAAATTCTGTCAGTATTTACTCACCCTCATGTTGTTCCAACCCCGTAAGACCTTCGTTCATCTTCGGAACACAAATTAAGATATTTAAGATATTAAGATTGCTCCTGCATACTAGTCCATAGGCTTCTTGAGGGCCTCGAAAAGTCATTAAAGACATCGTTAAAATAGTCCAAGTGACTACAGTGGCTCAATCTTAACTTTATCAAACGACGAGAACACTTTTGTGCGCAAAAACAAACAAAAATAACGACTTTATTTCAACTATTCACTTCCTTCTCCATGGGCCTGTAGTCAGTTAACGTAGTCTGATAGTGTAGAGCTACGTCACACAAAGGCCCACTATTGGCCGACGCTGGTCATGTGTGTGATGCGTGTGACGTACAATAACAGAAGCTTACGCTATTAAACTAGTAACCTGACTCGCGCAGAGGAAGATATAAACCAATAGTTGAAATAAAGTCGTTATTTTTGTTGTTTTTTGCGCACAAAAAGTATTCTCGTCGTTTGATAAACTTAAGATTGAGCCCCTGTAGTCACTCGGACTATTTTAACGATGTCTTTAATGACTTTTCGAGGACATCAAGTGTCATTCCCTCAAGAAGCCAATGGACTAGTATGCAGGAGCGATCTTAATATCTTAAATATCTTGAACGAAGATGAACGAAGGTCTTACGGGGTTGGAACAACATGAGGGTGAGTAAATACTGACAGAATTTTCATTTTTGGGTGAACTAACCCTTTAATGTGTGTTTAATGTGTGTTGTGCTTTATGTAGTGTACGCTTGTGTGCATGTGTGTTTGTCAGGCTGCACTGAGCGCGTGCCGCTATGAGTGGGAAGAGCCTCTTGCTGAAGGTCATTCTGCTGGGGGACGGCGGCGTGGGCAAAAGCTCCCTCATGAACCGCTACGTGACGGACCGCTTCGACTCGCAGTCGTTCCACACCATCGGCGTGGAGTTCCTGAACCGGGACTTGGAGATCGAAGGCCGGCTGGTGACGCTGCAGATCTGGGACACGGCGGGCCAGGAGCGCTTCAAGAGCCTGCGCACGCCCTTCTACCGCGGGGCCGACTGCTGCCTGCTAACCTTCGCCGTGGACGACCTGCAGAGCTTCCAGAACCTGGGCTGCTGGAAGAAGGAGTTCATGTACTACTCGGACGTACGAGACCCCGAGCGCTTCCCCTTCGTGGTGCTGGGAAACAAGGTGGACAAGGAGGAGCGCGAGGTCGGGGAGGACGAGGCCAGGGCGTGGTGTGAGGAGAACGGGTGCTGTCCGTACTTCGAGACCAGCGCTAAAGACGACATGAACGTGGGGGCGGCTTTCGAGGCTGCGGTTCGGGAAGTCCTGGCTAGCGAGGACCCGATTGATCACGCTCTCCTGAGCAGCTCCATCGATCTTCACGGGAACCGTAAAGTGTCTCGCTCGTCCTGTTGCTGAGGTGTCTTTCCAACCGCTCCTGTCGGGTTAGAGTTGAAAGTACCGACTTCAGTTTAAAAAAATCTGTTGAGCGGAATCGTAAACGCCTCTGATTGGTCGTTGTGTTCACGAGCTCATCGGATATGTCTGTGATTGGCTGTAATGATCAGTGAGCGTTTGAACCGATCCGACCGCTGATAGACGCTCGCGTGTTGCCAATCACAGACACGTTTGATGAGCGTGCGAGTACAACGGCCAATCAGAGGCGGTTACGATTCCACTCAAAGCGCCACATTTTTTAAATTTCAGCCTCGACTTGGTACCGAAGTCTGTACTTTCGTCAACTCTAGTCCGTGTGGACTCGCCCTCTCCCGCTGATGTGCCTGAGAGCTTTCCGGACCGGACGCGTCTCGCGAGCTACACACACTCATCTACCCACAGTCTGGCACAAAGTAGCGAGCAACGAGCAATCGCATCCAGAATAAAAGTTTGTGTTTACTTAATATATGTGTATGTACTGTGTGTAATTATTTTGTGTAACTCATTTTTCTTTAATATAAGATACTACAAGGTAATTATTCACACATATATTATGTAAACACAAAGTTTTATTCTGGATGTGATTAATCGTGATCTTTCCCCAGTCGAAGGCTTTTCTGCTCGCGGTGTGTGTGTGTTGAGTTTCAGCGCAGATCGGCCGCTCTTCTACATCCTGCTGTTTTAAATGCACATTACTGTGTTGTGGTACTTGTTTTGTCCTGATATTTTATGATGTATAACCTCAGAGAGTGACACATTGCTGACCACTGCTGTCTGTGATATAAGAGAAAGGGCATTTATGTGGTATTGAAAGAAATAAGGCATTTTTAATTTATTTTGCTCATAAGTTATTCTTCGGGTAAAGTCTGATGAGAATATGTTTGGGTCATATTTCAGCACAAATTCACCACATGCTTGATAATGTGTCATTATCATTACACATTTTAAACACATTCTCATTATCGTAATGTAAAAAAAAAAAAAAAAACATTGGATGATCATTACTGTAATATGAAAAAAAAGTTTCATAACATTATTTAAACTGTAAATTATTGTAGCGTTTTTGTTTTTGTATTGTTTCAGTAATGATTAAAAATAATTGTGTCCAGATTAATTTAAAATAATTCTAGTACGAAAAACCTTAAAGTTGATTTGGGGATGAAATATGACCATTTCTTCGTTAGATTCACTCTGTTATGGTACGTGTGTGGTAAAACACAACCTCAGATTAGCATATTGCTAACGAGCTACATCGGTAGAGCTGTTTCTTTTTCTTTCGATCGAAGTTAACCATTGTTTTGTTTTGTGAGGTACAGAGAGTTGGTGTCAGATATTATTATTATTTTTTTGTAATGATTTAGTTTCAGTTGTCAGTCTGTGTTGTGTATATTTGAGCAATTTTACAGTGTCTTATTGAAGGCTGCGCTGAAGAGAGAAAGTCTCTTGTTGTGTGAGGTGTGCGTGTTTGTTTGAGGGTGAAGCACAAAGTATACTGTGGTTTTTACATGTGAGAGTGTGCGTAAAGTGTGTCTTTCGTTTCCGAAATAATTATTTGGCATTTTTGTACACACGCACTCTGAATTTGTTTTGCATTAATCATTCGTTCCACTAGGTGGCAACACTGTCCCGGGCCGTTGTTTTTAACAGAAAAAAACTAAACTAAAATATGGAAGTTCTTTTCCCACCACAGAATAAAAAATAAAAAGGTAATTGTGACCTTTTACCTCACAATTTTGACTTTTCATCTCCGAATTGTGTGATATTAGTCACAATTGCAAGTCACCAGACTTCTTTTCTTAGAATTGCATGTTTATCTTCCAATTCTGACTTTAGGCCTAGGCATTGGAAGATAGCCTATAAAGTCACAATCCTGAGAAAAAAAAAAAAAAAGTTGTTTAGTTTATTTCTCGCAATTCTGACTTTATAACACGCAATTGCGACTTTATATCAAATCAATTCTGACATTATTTCTCAGGACATTTCCTGTCAGATGTCAATAGACGTTTAGAAGATGTCTTTAAGATGTAATGATTTACAATGTAATATGTTAAACTGACATCTTTAAGATGTCTATCAGATATTAGCAAACAGCAGATGCTTTCCAGATAAAGTGGTCTTTAACAGACATCTTGCAGACGTACGTGTGCTATCTGGGAAGTCACATGACTTTTTTCCGCAGAATTGCACGTTTATCTTCCAATTCTGATTTTAAAACAGGCAACTGCGTGATATAAAGTCAGAATTGTGAGATATAAACTCACAATCCTGAAGAAAAGTCTTTTTTTTAACATAGATTTGACTTTTTTAGTTTCGTTTATTAATTCTGACTTTATATCACGCAATTCTGACGTTATTTCTCAGAATTGCGAGATATAAAGTCGTAAACTTTTTTAAATGTTTTATTCTGTGGCGAAAACAAGCTTCCATACTAAAGAGACGGAGGCACATCAAAATCCCGGAGACTCCGACAGCAACAGACCCCCGCACTGACCAACGCGTGTGTTATGAATATGATGATTTTTAACGCTCATAACTTCTGGAGAAAAACAGCGCAGACGCTGGGCGAAGATGAAACTTCCCAGAGCGCACGTATCATGCGGAGTAAACTTTGTAAAGGAAACACGTTCGACTGCACTCGTGTGTTTAAAACGCAATATACTTTGTGCTTTATATACTGTCTCACTGATGGGTAGACACACACAGTTGAACCGTTCAACAACACCGTCTGCAGCTTCACTGGCCCTCATGTTTCCTCAGTTTCAGTTCAGGGTTGATACGAAGCCTAAGCACATGGTACCCAGTATCTTGCACTGACCTTTGACCCTGCTTAGAGGGCACTTTTTTGCATTATAGGTACTTATTCCACTTCTCTCTTTTATAATATCGACTCATTTCCTAGTGCTTTCCGCCATATATGAATGTTTTCTACACCTGTACTGCTACAGCTCGCAGCCTGATGTTCTGACAGCTTTCCACCACTGGTCGTGGTCACATGTTTCCATTTACAGACCTTCGCGTATCATGCATTTGTTATACATGTAAAACACAGGAAATTGTTTGTTGTTACTTGGTTTTTGGTACACTGTGAAATAGATGCAACACTGTGTCAAACTGCTGAACATATTCATTCCTAATATCGGATTGTGTTTTCCAGTAAACGAAGGTACCGAACGTCTGGGTTTACAGTGAAGAAATGTTACGTCAGATCTCGTTACGTGATGGAAAGACTCTTTACGTGTTTCTTTGTTACTAAAGTCTTTTGATTAGTCATAGTCAGTGGAAATGCCAACTTGATAAGTGAACTAAAGCTTTGCAATAAGCAGTGAATCTCACAGAGAAATGTGCAGGGCATGTTTCACCACACGAGCAAAAGAAAGAAATGAAACCATTGCATTCTGATTTTATGACAATTAAACTTTTTTTCGAAAGCAATTACTTGCTAGCTAAATGAAAATCTAGACACAATGATGGACATACAGTACGCATGTGTGTATATTATACATACACTTATATACAGGTCAAACTCCAGAAATTAGAATATCGTGCAAAAGTTTGTGTATTTCAGTAATTCAAATTAATAGATGAAACTAATATATTTAGTATATAACTATATGCTAGAGCCCGACCCATAAAGGATTTTGAAGGCCGATACAGATACAAATATTTGTTGGTTTTAAAATCCGATATATCGGCCGATATTGAAAAAAAAATTGCAAGATTTTGACTTTTCAAAATTTTTCAAACTTGCAATTCTTGCAAAAAGTGTGTATCGTCCGGTTTTATTTTATTTTTGAAAAATTAGTCTATCGGCCATTATAACTGCAGTTTGGAAAATGCCGATAATATCGGTCTGCCTCTACTATATGCATGATTATACTTTTCAAAGGGCCAACATTTCTGTATTTAAAATCCTTTTTTTTTATTGATTTCATGTGATTATTGAAATTTTCTGAGATGTTGAATTTGGTGTTTTCATAAGCCGTACGCCATAATCATCAAAAAGATAACTTTTGCACGATATTATAATTTTTTTTATGTATTTGGTTGTGAAGTTTATCCTGGATGTTTTTGGTGAGATTCAGTGTTCCTGACGCAGTATTTATCATGTTACAGTTCACAGGAGTGTTGAATTGCATTAATATTAGTGTATTCTTCATTATTTTTCAGCTGTGTGGTGAGTGAATTAAGGGCATTACTGCATTGAATGTACTGACTGTCACTTTCTACCGTGTGATTGGTATAAGCTTGGTACCCCAGTGTTCAATCAATCCTGTATTATTCACTGACATGCTTTAAACGGACCAAATGAGTGTGTGGGAAGCAGGGGTTGTGTTATAATCCCTGACTATGTCTGTTTCACATCATCTCCGATGCAATAAGGAGGTCAAGACTGCTTTACTTTGCAAGAATCCAGTGCGACAAATAAACAAACTGCAACAGCAATCATATAATGTGTGGTTTATGCTTTAACGGTTATAGTTTTAAACAAAACTATGTTAAACAAAATGCTCTGTCCTGTTTAGCCAGGTAACAAACTTTGCAACTCAAATATAGCGTTTGGTTTATAACAAATCAAGTCAATATGTGATCTGGAGTCACACATCTGGTGTGTGAAGATCGTAAGGGGAACGCAGGGTTCCTCTGTGCTCATCTAACACTCGTCCGAAGAGCGCATGTAGTCTCCTCTCCTCCTTCTCTCTGCGATCTCGCTCTGCTAACACGAGCTGCCATGCTGTGAGGTGCAGTGGACAGTGGATCTACAACACAACACACACATTAACACACAACTCCACCCCCGCTGCAAGGCATTGAGCTTTATTCTCCAGTTTTACAGTACCTGTGTGTCTGTACACACACAACTAGGAAATACTGATAGTGATAATAACAGCAAATAACAAACTAAAAAAGTCCTTTGATGAGAGAAAATCACTGATTAATTGAAGAAAAAGAAAGAGTTATACAATAACTACAATAATCTCCTGATAATTAGAGTTACATAACAAAATAGGTCACGGTTCAGATATTTTGTCACAGTCACATGTCGTTCCAAACCTCATTTTTGTTTTGGTCCCCTTAAAAAGATGCTAATATTATCGATTTGACTGCACTGACACAATGGGAACACTACTTGAACTGAGTTGAGCTGAATATAATAACACTTTTGTCTTCTGCGGGGCTGCTTAACTGCTGAAACGGAATTTGTTTTATACTTGATTCATTTTGCAACATTAAAGGGCCGTTTACTAAGAACGCGTGTTTTCATTCCACTGCTATTTGTGTGCTATTACTGTGCATTCTTTTTCAGTGCAAACACACACTAGACTGATGTGTTTGAGTGTTGTGCTCACATCTTTTAAAGTTTCTTGCACGTAACAGCGCTAAAAACAGTGCAGAATTCTAAATACACCGTGTAGCGTTCTACAAACACAGCATAGCATTCTAAAAATACAGCGTAGCGTTCTAAAAACACAGGGTAGCGTTGTAAAAACACAGGCCAGCGTTCTTAAAACACAGGCCAGCGTTCTTAAAACACAGGGCAGCGTTCAAAAAAACACAGCGCAGCGTTCTAAAAAAACACAGGGCAGCGTTCTTAAAACAGCGCAGCATTCTAAAAACACAGGGCAGTGTCGTAAAAACACAGGGCAGCGTTGTAAAAACACAGGGCAGCGTTGTAAAAACACAGGGCAGCGTTCTAAAAACACAGGGCAGCGTTCTAAAAACACAGGGCAGTGTCGTAAAAACACAGGGCAGCGTTCTAAAAACACAGGGCAGCGTCGTAAAAACACAGGGCAGCGTTGTAAAAACACAGGGCAGCGTTGTAAAAACACAGGGCAGCGTTGTAAAAACACAGGGCAGCGTTGTAAAAACACAGGGCAGCGTTCTTAAAACACAGGGCAGCGTTCAAAAAACACAGCGCAGCGTTCTAAAAAAACACAGGGCAGCGTTCTTAAAACAGCGCAGCATTCTAAAACCACAGGGCAGTGTCGTAAAAACACAGGGCAGCGTT